TTTGCCCCCCTTTGCAAAGCCACACCAGCCAGTTATTCTGCAGCCAGAATAAAACCCTATAGTCTGGTTAACCCGGGCTTGAGAGAACAGACTTTCCGATTTGGCAGAAAAAGAGATGCCTTCAATATATCCAGGCTATCACCCAGAGATGCTTTGCAAACCCCCCTTCTCTCCACACCACCTCCCCCCCCAAAAAAAAAAATAAAAGGAAAGAAAAAAGAAAGGAAGGAAGGAAAACAGACTTATTGGGGGTGGAAGTGGTGCCCTCTCTTCCTGGACAGCTTAGTGCCTTTGCTATGCAAATAACGTGTGAAGAGCATCAAAAGGTATCAGGAGAAAAGAAGACAAGAGAAGCAGGAAGGGCAGCAAAGTTTTGTTGAAGTAGCTCTAGATCTCACTACCGGCCCCCAGCCAACTTGAGTTGCAGCAGGAGAAAATTTTGGCAGCTTTTCCGAGGAGGCAGAGCACACTGACGTCAGTCTGCAGATGTGCCTGGGCTGCGTCGGGTGCGCATGTGTCCTGGGTCGTCACGTGGAGGGGGAGGGGAGGTAGAGGTACAATCGGGGTAACCAACTACCAGCCATTCAGACAGGCTTAGACAATGTCAACTTTTCCACCCTGTGAATGAGACAAATTCTGGCCCCTCTAACCTCTCTCCCCTACCCCACTCCGCCCTTTTTCCTCCTCTAACCTCTTTTAGAAATTCTAACCTGGTTTGTTATTAGTTGTCTCTCGGAAAAAGAAAGGGGGTAGGGAGAGGGTGGGTGACTTTAGATGGACTAATGTCACCAGTAAGATCTCCGGTGTCATTCTCAGTGTTTTTGTTTTTAAGTCCGCACAATAAAAATGTTAAAAGTTACACATGTTTATTATAAACAGTGCCTTTGAGGAAACTTACAGCAAACTTAGATCAGTGTAGCAGACAGATTTTATGCGTATAAAACGGCTGTGTTTTATATATACCTTTAACACAAGTAAGCTTGTCACTGAAAGAGAAAGTAAACCAAGACCAGCACATATTCCATCTGATTATCGGCTTCAGGTTCTGTGGAGCTTTAAAAGAAAGAAAGACAAAAAAAGTGGGGGAGGGAAGAGAGAAGCTTGCATTATTTCCAGATGAGGGTGAGACTGGATGGTGTTTTAAAGTGCAACTGGGGAAAGCTACAAGTGGAGTGAATTTTCTTAAGCCAGTACATTGAATGAAACCTCAATGACTGCCCGAATGAAAATAAATCCGAAGTCAGACCCCCTCCAAAAAAGGGGAGTGGGGGTAGGGCAGGAACACTGCTGCGATCTCAAGATAAACAAACAAAACCTCAAAACTGGCTCTTCAAGCTTCCCAATCCCTGCCGCCCCTCCTCCCCCTCTTCTCATAACACACCAGCTGCCGGTCCAGACTTTAAGGATAAAATACTGCTTCAACGTAGCACTTTCACTTTCATTTGCTGGGAGAAAGCCACTGGCATTAAACTGTAGGGAAAATGCCCAGATATGTTTTCCATGTCCTAAAGCAAGCAAACAAAGTCTGGCACACAAATCAGTACCAGGAAAAAATGTGAAAATAGCTCAGGACAAATGTTGCCTTTCAGCGGTGTAATCTGCTGCATCATTTATCTATCTCTGCGGTGGAGTGCTGGGTGGGGAGAGGCTTAAGACTTTCCGAGTTGGGGGCGGGAGGGGGCGCGGGGGGGAGAAGGGAAGGGGGAATTGACGCCTTGAAATTCCTGTCCTAAATTATCGCCAAGTTAATTTCCGACGGCCAGAACCAGAAAAGGGAATTGGACCGGAGGGAAGGGGGTGGAGAGAAGGACCTTTCTGAATACCGGCTCTAAAGTTTCAAGCTTCTGCTAACATTATTGCCCAATTGATTTTTTTTTTTCATCCTACGCCGGAGGTAGTAGGTGTAATTCTTCTGGTGAATCCATGAATAGTTGGCTAAAAGAAGGCATGAATCAGACTAAGAACGTCCAAGAATACAGTTATTTCGATTCTTCTTCGAGGGGTGAAAAGGGAAAGCATCTCTCCGCAGTCAATAGTGCTCATCTTGACCTTAATTAGTAGTATTTGGCTCAATTCCATTTAAACTAGAAATACGTCCTGCCGTTGGCACTGACAGTTTTGAATGAAAATGATTTATACATGTATATATATATATATATATATATATATATATATGCTACAATATGAAGCATCTTTATTTAAAACTGTGTGTGTATATATACATACATATATACAGATATATAAAATGTTGCATTAAAATACATGAGGTGGCTAAACCTCGAAGGAATAATTGTAAACACCAAAAATAAAAGGAGTTGGCACAGAGTGATGTTTGCACCAATCACCTTTTACACAGTTGCAAACCTTCCTTAATTTCTCAAGAACTGGTAGTAGATAGACCCAGCCAGCACGGCAAGCCAAAGTTAAGGCATGAACAGTAATCATCTATATAGGCTATCTCAAAAGTTTTTATCTTCAACTAAGATAAACTGTCCTGGGAAGTAGCGGCATTGAAAAGGAAAGGAGTTTATTCTGTGAGGAGTAGACTTTTGGTAATTACTTATTCAAAGAGTGCCATCCTGCGTCTAAACACAGTAATGAAAACTTCCCAGCAGATTCCTTTTTTTTCCTCCAAATGACTATACATAAAAGTGGGAAGTGAAAAGAAAAGAGAACAGTATGACAAGGGTGAAAAATTATTAGCGTGAGAAATGGTAAAGTGTCAATTTATATATATGTATGTGTTTGAAATTTTCCATAATAAATGTATATAATACTTATATTTATAAATATATAAATTGTATTATGGAAATTTCAAACATACACAAAAGTAGAAAAATATAGTATAATGAAAACCCAGTGTAGCCATCACTCAGTTTCAACAAGTGTCAACTCATGACCGGTTTTATCTATATCCCTATTTACTCCCTCCACCCCACTGGATTATTTTGAAGCCGATCTCGGATATCATTTAATTGCATCTGTTAAGTATTTCTAAAATAAAAGGAATTAAAAAAGAATAACCACTATTACACCATTATTACTTCTGAAACAATAATAAATCCATTATTTCGTCAAATATCAATGTTTAGACTTCCCCAATTGCAAATAAAGGTTTACAAAAAACTGTTTATTGTAATCAGGATCCATACATTGTACTGGGTTGATCTCTTAAGTCTTCCTTTTTTTTTTTTAAGTAAACTTTTTATTGAAGTAGAACATGCATACAGAAAAGTGCATATGTAAGTACACAGATTGATGGGAAGTGTTCAGCCTAACGTATTTTTGCAAAGTGAATTTGTCCATGTAATCACCACTCTCTTAAAGCTCTTTTAATCTATGGGTTCTGCCTCATTTTTTTCTTTCCTTTTTTCCCTTGCAATGTAAATACCATGTTAATATCTTGCCATCTTAATACTATATTTCGCCCTTTTGTAAACATGGAAATGTTTTAAGCTATACCTGTGCATTGTTTTTTAATTGAATTATATAAAACAAATTTAAATTAAACCCTGAATGAATTTCAGTTGCATAGAAATTCTTTAACATTTCTATAGTGGCCAATGCTTTTCTCTTTTAAAACTTTCCTCTCCTGCTTTCCTTTTCTTTCTCCATTTAGTTAAGAAATGAAGATTATGGGCAGACTAGAGTTGACAGTAAACTCCTTAGTCACACCTGAAAAAAACCTTGCTAGTAGTCTTTACAAGCCTATTAAATAGAGGTTTAAGAAAATAACAATACTAATACGTAGCTTCATTTTAACCTCTCTTCCACTGTTTACTTTCTTATTAGAGTGTGACATGAAAAGTTGGAAGAAAAAAAAAATTGACAAGAAAAGAGTGGATATAGTCAATGGTTTATTATACAAATAATATCCAATATTCAAAAAGAATGAGGAGAAGATAAAGTCAAAGGGTATCACTGAGCTACCAGTGAAAACCCTAATTTGCTAACACCAATCGTTTGCTCTTTGGTATTGTGCAAAGGACTCTAAGAAGTATGGAAATGTAATATGGGAAACAAGATTAAAGTGTGATAAAACAAGGCAAAATGCAAGAAGTTACATAATTAGTGATTAACAGCATGGCATACATGGTAAGTGCTATGGGCTTCAAAAAATAGAGAATTCAATGAAGTCTAAATAATGATTTCTCTGGCATCCATGTTGTCAAATCCAGTGGTCAGTTTTGTGGTTCTTACTTAAACTCCCAGCAACATTCAATTGATTTGATCGCTCTCTAGTTCTGAAAATTCTGTCATTTCTTCCCTTGGTTCTGTGACACCATGTTTTCCTAGTTTTCCTCCCAAATCAATGGTCCTTCCTCCTCCTCTGCTCATTCACTAAATATTAAAATGCTCAGTGGTCAGTACTGAAACCCACTCTCTTCTCTATCTACTGATTTTTCTTTAGGAGAATGCATCATTTTTCATGGCTTTAGAGATCATCTATACACCAATGACTCCTTTATCTAAACATTTGCTTGAGTGTCTGATAGGCAACACAAACTTAGCAACGTGACCTAAACAGAATACAACTTGTTCCTCTATGTATCTTTTCCACATTAATAAATGGTACCACAATTCACCAAGCTGCTCATTCAAAACACCTAGGAGTCGTCGTCATTTCTTTCTTTTTTTTTTTTTTACTCACTGCCCACATAAGTCCTGTTGACTCTATCCCCAAACATGGACTGAATATATCTATTTATCACTGTCTATATTAATATTACCCTAGTTCAAGTCTCATGATAGACTATCTCCATTTCCTGACAGACTTCTACAACAGCTTCCCAACTGGTCCCATTTCTACACTTAATTCTCTACAGCACACTCTCTACCCAGATTTTCCCATTCCACTTACAACAAAATATACCCTTTTTCATA